AGAAGCTTTGTGACAAACGCTGACGTATGTTGGTGGTAAGGCATTAGCTACTTTGGAAATACCTAGAGCTTAATAAAGGCATAAAGCAGAGCCAGAACCCTGGTTGGAGTCCCCGCTGCCTGTGTGCTGTGCTGCTAACATCACAGCCCCAGAATGCCCAGTGTTTCTGAATCAGTATTGCAGTGTCAGCTGGGAGGGAAGACACCAAAGTGGCGGGAACCATGCTGCCTCCTAAACACTGTCACGGAGATGTGCACACTGGGCCAGAGTGGCAGGTCCAAGCACATTAATTGCAGCATGCAAATTGCAAGCAACCTTAATGTTGCTCAACAGAACAATGGTTAACTGAGACACAGGCTTATGATGCAGAATTGAGAAGAAAGAGGTAGATCTGTTTGTAATGACATGGAAATATATCCAAGGTGTATTAAGTTCCCACCACCCGTCTGTCAGTGTGTTGTACTGAGGTGGCTTGCATGTTGCTGTCAATATTTCAAATACCAGCAGGGTCACCCACGGGGGACAGGTTTCAGTGGAGCTTCCAGACTAAAATGAACTAGGAAGAAAGGCCTGGTGATTTACTTCCTAAAATCAGCCGATACAAACTCTACGGATCACAACAGAATATTGTCTGTGATTTTGACTTGCTTATTTTGGATGCATCATCAGAAGGGACCAATCACTGGAGAAGGACGTCGTGTTTGGTAAAGTGGAAGACCAATAAAGGCAAGAGAAACCCTCAGACGTACCAAGGATTGTCAAGATGGTACAGGACAGAGCGACATTTCGTTCTGTTATGCATGGGGTCACCATGAGCCAGAGCTGACTCGATAGCAACCACCACCACCACCAAAAACAACAACCTATTAATTTAAATACAGAAGTAGAAACTCAGGTACAGCATGATGCCATTTATCATGAAACAAAATCTACAAATCCAAACCAAGCTCTACTGGATGTAAAGATACGTATGCAAACATGTAGGAAAGGGTCTCTAAGGACGGACACCAAATCAGTAACTGTGGACCTTCTCTGGGTAAAAGCGGGGCTGGGCAGAGGATGGTCAGGGGGACTTTAGTTTTCTCTATGTTGCTTTAATTTTTCTTTTACAAGAATGTGTTCATATGGGCTGTGTAATTAACAATAAAAAAACACTAATAAACAAAATACAATAAATGTTTTCTGTCTTTTGTCTTGCATAATAATAGTCTGACCCCCTCAATATGGCTCAAGGTTTGGGAAGGTCATATTTTAGGAATTTAAACTTTTAACTATGTAGACAAGCCCTGACTGCTAATAGTATATCTTTATGTGTATTTAGAGCCTATAAAAGGACTATTGTACTCAAAAGATTTTAATACTAAAAATGTATCTAAAACTTGGACATTTTTCACCAATCAGAATGCAATAGTTGAGAAGACTGCAAGTACCTATGAGGACAGGGCATGTGGAGACAGGCATGTTGATGAGGACTCAGGTTGGCACATACTCTTTGAAGGGCATTTACCATCTATCAAAACTGTAAATATTAATCCCTTTGATGTAACACTTCCACTGCCAGGAATTTATCCTATACAAATGCACAGAAACACACATTTAAAAATATTCATCATAGATAAATTCATAGAGACCAACCACGGATTGGTGGTTACCAGGAGTAAGGGGGAGGGAAGAATCTGGAGCAATTGTTTAAGGGGTGCGGTTCCTTTAGGGATGATGAAAATGTTTTGGAATTAGACAGAAGTGTTGGTTGTACAATATTGTGAATGCACTAAATGACACTGATTGCTCAGTTTTAAATGGTTAATTTTATGTTATGTGAATTTCCCATTGCTATTGTTAGATGCCGTCGAGTCGGTTCCGACTCATAGCCACCCTATGTACGACAGAACAAAACACTGCCCAGTCCTGCACCATCCTCACAATCATTGCTGTGTTTGAGCCCATTGTTGCAGCAACCGTGCCAATCCGTCTTGTTGAAGGTCTTCCTCTTTTTCACTGACCCTCTACTTTACCAAGCATGATGTACTTCTCCAGGGACTGATCCCTCTTGATAACATGTCCAAAGTATGTGAGATTATAGTCTCGCCATCCTTGCTTCTAAGGAGCACTCTGGCTGTGCTTCGTCCGAGACAGGTTTGTTTGTTCTTCTGGCAGTCCATACGATACTCAATATTCTTTACCAACACCGTAATTCAAAGGCATTAATTCTTCTTCGGTCTTCCTTATTCATTGTCCAGCTTTGACATGCATATGAGGCAATTGAAAATACCATGACTTGGGTCAGGTGGACCTTAGTCCTTTAAATAAAAAAAATACAAATGCATGAAAACATTCATCATAGCATTGCTTGTAAGAGCAAAAGCCTAGAACCCTCCTAAATATTCACACGTATGAGTCAGGTACAAACAAATCAGTGGCGTAAATGGATGAGTGGGAAGGATTTGAGGTGGTATCAAATCGACTTAGTGACTTTTTTTTTCACTTTTGTTTAAATATGTTTTAATTATTTTTAAAAGCTAATGAAAATAGTACAGACACATGAATGTGTTATATATACACCAAATTTTAATACACAGAGACCACAAACATCTTAGTATGTGCTGTTAACGTCGTTTTTATCCAGGTCTTAGAATAGTTTTTTTTTCTTTCTTCCCATCTCTGTTTGGTCTACTAGCACATGTTTCAATGGTTTGGTGTAGTTTATAGGTTTACACTGATCATTCTGTTTTCATTTTGTTATATAAATGGAACCCAAGTAAAACGTAAGAGTATATGCTACCACAGATAGGAGAGCTAAAGCACATCTGCCTGATGCAGATTTCACTCTGTGTAATAGTCAGTTAAACAATAAAAATTGAATAGGGGGCATGATGTCTCATGAAAACACTCCACTCTACATTGTTTTAGTTCTTATTGTGACTTGCAGAGATTTTCTTAATCATTTTTTGCTAAAGAATGAGAGTAGCATTGGTATATATATATTTTTTTAATTTTTGTATTGTAGTTTAAGTGAAAGTTTACAATTCGAGTTAGTCTCTCATACAAAAATTTATACATACATTGTTATGTAACCATAATTGCTCTCCCTATACTGTGACAGCACACTCCTCCTTTCCACCCCGGATTCCCCATGTCCATTCAACCAGCTCCTGACCCTCTCTGCCTTCTCATCTCACCTCCAGACAGAAGCTGCCCGTTTAGTCTCATGTATCTACTTGAGCTAAGAAGCACACTCTTCATGACTATCATTTTATGTCCCATAGTCCAGTCTAATCTTTGAAGAGCTGGCCTCGGGAATAGTTTTAGTTCTGAGTTGACAGAGAGTCCGGGGGCCATGCTTTCTGGGGTTCCTCCAGTCTCAGTCAGACCATTAAGTCTGGTCTTTTTACTAGAATTTGAATTCTGCACCCCACTTTTCTCCTTCTCCATCTGGGTCTCTCTGTTGTGTTCCCTGTCAGGGCGGTCTTTGGTGGTAGCTGGGCACCATCTAGTTCTTCTGGTCTCAGGCTGATGAAGTCTCTGGTTTATGAGGTCCTTTCTGTCTCTTGGGCTAATACTTTCCTTGTGTCTTTGGTGTTCTTCATTCTCCTTTATCGACTTAGTGACTTCTGAGTTGGATAGAGAAGAGTCAGTGACAATCAGGAGTTTCTAAGCTGAGCAATAGGGTGGATGAGTAAGCCATTGACTGAGACAAAACACCCGCTGCCGTCAAGTCGACTCTGACTCACAGTGACCCTACAGGACAGAGCAGAACTGCCCCATAGAGTTTCCAAGGAGCGTCTGGTGGCCTCAAAGTGCCGACCGTTTGGTGAGCAGCCTTAGCGTTTAACCACTACGTCACCAGTTTTCTATGAGACAATGAAAAAGGAACAATTGAGGAGGGGGAATTCAGTATAAGGTGTTTGTGGGATTATCCATGCTGGTGCTCGTGTGGAGAAAATGCATTAATTGGGGTAGGAGTGGGAGTGAGAATGGGGGGTATTGCCAGGGGAAGGGAACAAGAAGGAAGAGTAACTAAAAAGGAGGTGAAATGATGAATATAAAGAATTCAAAAGTAAAGGAGTCAGCCAGGCCTGTGTGCTTTACAAACAAGAATCCTGAGACTTGGAAAATTAGGTAATTGATGTGGCTAGAGCTACATAACTTTTAGGTTGGTTGAAGTAGGATTTGAACTCAGGTCCATCTTATCGCAAGGTCAATACTCACTAAGCCAAAATGTCCCTGCTATCATAATACGTGATTAACAACAAGACATCTAGTGTACTGACCTTTAGCTAATTTAAAATGAGCCAATGTAACAAAATTCCATGAAAAGTCAGAAATGCCAAACACCTAGGCTTGACAAGTTCCTATGGTACCTATCCATCTACAAAATGGGATAATAGTAGTAATACACGTTACTAATATACATATTAATGTATGGGCTAGGTTCCATATAAACATAATCTCTTTAAATCTTCATCAAATCTTCCAGTGTAAGTGACTTCTCTCCCCATCTCACAGATGAGAAAATGGAGGCTCAGGAGTGACTTGCCTAAATTTACAGAGCAATTAAGTGAGAGAGCTCACATGGAAACTCATACCTGAGGGCTCTTCAAAATGTTTTTTTATTGTGCCGCGTTGTCTCCCTTTGGGGATAATAGTATCTACCTGCCAACCTCAGAAGGTTGCTCTGAGTTACACATGGAGAATTTGTGGGGCTCAGTAATCTGTCTCCTTAAACGACATCCTGATGATTCTGATGTGCGTGGTCTGTGAACCACACGCCGAGGAGCAATGTCTTGTGCGTGTTGAGGCGCAGGTCAATTGTAATCTCTAAAAGCCCGAATGGACGTCTTTTATGTGTTTGTGTTTTTGCTGCCTTCATGAGTGTGGATGGACTGTTCCCTCCACTGAGACGTCCCGCTCGGCCAGCCCTCTGGGTATCCCTCCCCCCAGCACTGACGGCTCTTCTAAGAGCCACATCCGTTCCAAGCTTCTTCCTTCTTATTTCCCAGGCATCAGCAATAAACGGCTTGGCGTTTGTGGCTGGATCCTGTTTTTCCTCTCTTTCCTGTTGATGATCATTACCTTCCCCATCTCCATATGGATGTGCTTGAAGGTAATACCCTGGGAACTAAATGGGGCTCTCCCTACGAACTGATGAGCCATTAAGACTAAGTGTTCTCCTTTAATCTCTTAGATCATTAAGGAGTATGAACGTGCTGTTGTATTCCGACTGGGACGCATCCAAGCTGACAAAGCCAAACGGCCAGGTATGACTCCAAGGCTGCCGTGACAAAGATTAATGGGCGGGCTCCTGTGTTACTGTGACTACTACCACCATTCCTTCCCCCAGTGGTCCTACTAAGAGTCAAAGAAAAATCACAGGAACCTGGAGCACTGCCTTTCTGCACAATAAAACCACCAAACCAGTTGCCATTGAGTCAGTTCCCGCTAGGTGCATCAGGGTAGAACTGTGCTCTGCAGGGTTGTCAATCTGTAGCAAGCCCTGTAAGCAGGAGTGTTACTCAGACTAACAATATAACCAGATTGTCATATTTCAGAACATGGAATATCTTTGGCGGCTGCCCAAATATATCCTAGTTTGCTGCCCAAATACACTGCTGTTTTAAGGTGACAAAAATGGTAGATCCTTCGTAAAGTTTTCCACACTGTATTTCATTTCCCAACGTTCTGTCTGCTGTTCTGTTGTTATATTCCTTTACAGGAGAGAACTGGCATACAACACTGACTTTGTTCCCTCTTTTTTTTTAGTTAAAATACTTGATTGTGTTTTTGGTGAAAGTTTACACAGCAAATTAGGTTCCCATTTAACAATTTCTACACAATTTGTTCAGTAACATTGGTGACATTTTTCAGTGTGTCAATTTTCTCATCGTTTCCGTTCTGGTTGTTCTGTTTCCAGTAATCTGGTTTCCCTGCCCCTTTGCCTTGTCTTTGCTTTTGGCTCCTCCTAAGATGTTAGTGTTTGTAGGTAACATGAGTTACAGGAGAGAAAAGAATCCACAGTTCTTACCATGTCTTTCAAGATCCCATACCATCTGGCCTCTGGCAATTTCTGCAGAACTTCCCGGCCATGGGCAAATACTCCGACTAGAACAGGGAGAGAAGGTGTGTGCTGGGGGAAGACTGCAGTGGACAGTGAAATGACCAATGGACAGACGAGATGCACGAGAGACTAGAGAACAACTGGGAAGGAAAAGCCCACAGAGAGCGTTAAGCCATGTCTGAAGTAGATGAAGAGTCAGTGTAGACTCTTTATGGAGATAGCATGGAGTTGGTTAACACACTCGGTTGCTACCTGAAAGGTTGGAGGTTCGAGTCCACCCAGAGATGCCTCAGAAGAAAGGCCTGGCAATCTACTACCAAAAAATCAGCCATTGAAAATGTTATGGAGTGCAGTTCTACTCTGACACAGATGGGGTTGCCATGAGTCAGAGTTGACTTGATGGTGACCTGTTAACTGGGGAAGGAGGGTTGGTCAGGTACTAAGAGCTCCTTAGAAGTAAGATATTGATTTAATATCCGTAACTTCTCTTGGTGTATATTTGGTTGAACCATATAAAATTGCTAATATCTGACAGTCTTTGACCCACAAAAATGACGATTCCACATGGTTAATTCTAATATTCTTGAAATGAGGGGCTATCAAAAACAGCATCTTAGAAGACACATGGAAAACAATGGTTATTAGCTATATTTCTCCGATGACACTAGTTTTCTGCCCCCTACTATGGTAATTTTAGTAAAATTTTTTTCTCCAACTTGACTGTAATATCTTTGGGGGCAGGAGCTTTTGACTCCCTGTGACATTCTGTGCTTTGCATTCGACCATGTACAGACACTCAGATACCCGTTATGCGAAAGAGTAGAAACTCCAGAAGCAGAAGCTTCTGAAGGAGGCATGGCCAGTTCAAACAGTGTAATTCTTTGTGTCTGACTCCATGAAGGATCTAAGAGAAAGAGGACAAGAATTACTTACTATGGATGTTTTTATGAGTTTGTCAAAAACAAGAGAGCTAGGATCATCCAATGAGGTAAAACAGAACAAAGTTAACACTTCCCAGCTGCATTGCAACTAAAAATCATAAGTTAAAATAAAACAGATCTGGGGGAGGAGAATAGCCATAACTGGGAGGACTCTGGAGAAAAATGTATCTCTTTTAAATGAATTTCCCAGAAGGTTTCAAACTAAATGTCCCAGGGTAACCACTCTCGTCATATATGTCTCTGGGGTTAATGAGTTACCTCAGAAAGTCCAAAGGGCCAGAGGGAAATCATCCAAATTGCTAATGGAAAATCTCTCCACTTCTGTCAATTATAAATTACTTTCTAATAATAAAAATACTGATAATGAGATGTCACTTCTTGAGCACTTAATACATGCCTGCCACTGTGTTTATTATCATGTTGAATCACCCTTCATCATCAGTATGACCTTATTATTCTACTTAATGTACATTAAGTAACTGAAGCTCAGGGAAGTTAGGTGAATGTTCCAAGGTCACAAGGCAAGTAAGTTGTAGGGCTGGGATTTAACTCTTTCTGCTTCCAGGATCATGATCTTAATCACAGTGACCTGGCACCCAGAAAGGATGTAAATATTAGGGGTTCCCAGGTGGTGCAGAAGGAACACTGGTGGTGCAATGGTTAAGCACTCCACTGTTAACCAGAAGGCCGGTGGTTCAAACCCATCAGCCCCTCCATGGGAGGAAGATGTGGCAGTCTGCTTCTGTAAAGATTTACAGTCTTGGAAACCCTATGGGGCAGTTCTACTCTGTCCTAAAGGTCACTGTGAGTCAGAATCAACTCAATGGCAGTGGGTTTGGTTTGTTTTTAAGGTGGTGGAAATTGTTAACACACTCAGCTGCTAACAGAAAGGTTGGAGGTTCGGGTCCACCCAAAGGTGCCTCAGAAGAGAGGCCTGGCAATCTACTTTGGAAAAATCAGCCATTGAAAACCCTATGGAGCACAGATCTTCTCTGACACACATGGGGTCGCCTAACTTTTTTACTGGTATCCTCACCTCAAGTTTAAGAAAAGTTTAGAAACCAAAAGAAAGAAAGCACCCCAGAAGCCCTTTCCTATAATGCTATCAGACCTCCGCATGGTGCTCAACCTAAAAACCTCTTTCTGGTTTGAAAACCAAAACAAGAACGCAAAACCTTTCTGGTAAATGGAAATGGATTGGCGGCCCCATCCTGCTGACATGCTTGGGATCTAGTCTTTGTAACTCTTGCTGCAAAGAACATTCACCAGGGTAATGTTAAGGATTCAGATAGTCCTCAAATGACCTTTCTTATACGCATCCTTCCCCCACCCAACCCTGCCCCCAAATACTTCATGACTCAGAGAGAAGGGCAAGTGTCTGCAGTGGGGAATGCCGCTGTGTGTGAACTAGAACCCAGCTATGCGGAGAGTGTAAGCTGAGGATCCACCAGTGCTCCTCCAGGTGACTGTGAATGCCAGCAGCCACTGAGACTCAAGGTCGGAAGCCTAGTGCTTACATTGCTTATATAGATACCCTTTTAAATTAATGTCTAATTCAATACTTGGATAGAAGTAGATTAAATTAAAAAAAGAAATCTAAAAAGTAGCTCTTAAGGATCTTAGTGTCTTACAGAAAATAAATTCCTAGGGAGCGACTGTCCTGTAGTCACTGAGTGACAGGAGGAAATCCCCAAACTATAGGTGAACGTGTTAAAGACCAGCTGAGAAGTGTGTGGAGCCACACAGTCGGGAGACGATCCGTCATAGCTGTTGTTCTCAATGGGTGTGTTTCCCTAGGTTTGGTCCTGGTCCTGCCCTGCGTAGATGTATTTGTCAAGGTTGATCTCCGAACTGTGACCTGCAACATTCCTCCGCAAGAGGTACTGGGCCTTACAGACCTGTTGGGAGAAGTAAAACCGCTATCTCCGCCATTACACGGACCATTTAAACTGTACATTCTGTTTTTAAACTGTAAGAGGGAGGATGAAATGACTGGGCTTTGCTTTGTCCATGAGAATGGAGGCCAAGGGAGGCTTGGAATGGCGGGGCGGGAGGCAGCGGGAGGAAGGAGAGCCATGGCATGGCGGGGAGCTGGCAGGGCGAGGGCAGAGCAGATACGAGGGGAGACAGGTGACGTCATGTCACGTCCCCTGTGGAGGAGTTTAATTGGGGGCCGGCAAGGGATTATGATAGCACCTCTCCATCACTTTCCGAGACACTTTTTTAGTAATACCTACTTCACTTGCCTTTGTTTTTGACTTTAGTTCTTTTGTGTTTGGATGCAGCCAAGTGGGTTAAGCGTGCAGAAGGAGCAGAGGCTGCACAAGGGGCCCACCCGCGCTGGGATTTCAAATAACTTTTTTCAGTGTTTGAGGCACTGTTAATAAATGATCAAAAACTATAATTGGAAAATAGGGAAGAGAAGCATGCCCCCTGCTCATAACCAAAATGGCTCAGGAAGAGGAAGGGAGGTGTGAGCAGGACCTAGAGTGTGGGAGGGCGAAGGTGACCAGGAGACAGAAAACTAGCATCTAGGTGTCAACTCCTGCTCCCTGGTTCAGGAAAGTAGTAGTTGAGAAATGACAGCCATGTCTCCGTGCCACTGGAGGGAGCTGCAGCACGGAGTTTAGAATTGAGCGCCAATCACAGCGGGGCTTGGACTATTGGGGACCTTCTGTGGGCATTTTCTGGCTCTGCAATAAACAGTCCTACGCTCTGCTCCCATGGCAACCCCAGAAACCTCTCATCTGCTCCGAAGCACCTTGCTGCATCGATGAGAACGACTGACGCCCAGCCCCTTGGTAGAACTAAGTCTGTTTTTCTTTACCTGAAGACAGAATCCAGTCTCTGGTGCCACCTGTTTCCTAAGCAGCAGTGCTGTCCATCAGGCCCGATGAAATCTGAAAAGCAGAGATCATGCGTATCAGGGAGACAAGTGTTCTTCCTCCGCGTAGAAGGTATAAGTCCTGAGGATGATAGGGTTACATTTTATCATGGAAGGTGGTGGCTGTTCTCATCCCGCCAGACCCAGGGTTTCTGGTGGGCGAGTGTCAACACTGTATACCACGGCCACAGAGACCTTTCCAGGGCGTGAGGATAGACCACGCGCATGTAGGAATTCTGTTATCCGCCAGAATGCTCTTCTGCTCTAGGCAAGCCAGGATGTTCACGACGGCTAGCGTGAGCTGTCGTTACCATCCCACGCCCCCCTGCCTCCACAGGAGGAGGGCTCAGGGGCTGCCTCGCTGTTGTTTTTAGCTGCCACTGGCTGAGCCCCGACTCGTGGCAATTCCACGCACGAACTAAACACTGCTGGTCACCCCACATTGGACTGTTGTGATCTGTAGGGTTTTAATTGTCTGATTTTCAGAAGTAGACAGCCAGGCCTTTCCTCCTAGTCCATCGTAGTCTGGAAGCTTCACTGAAACTTGTTCAGCATCATAGCAACACGCACGCCTCCACTGACAGACGGGTGGTGGCTGCGCATGAGGGGCGTTGGCTGGAACCTGAACAGGGTTTCCCAGGTGGACGGTGGCAGTTCTGCTACTGAACCACCACTGTTCCCAAAATCCAGTTGTCAGTTGCCTTGAAAGGAATCCGCATGTGGTCTCACCCTGTTCTTGCTCCCCAGATCCTCACCAGAGACTCCGTGACAACTCAGGTGGATGGAGTCGTCTATTACAGGATCCACAGTGCTGTCTCGGCAGTGGCTAACGTCAGTGACGTCCACCAAGCCACGTTTCTGCTGGCTCAGACCACGCTGAGAAACGTCTTAGGGACACAGACTTTGTCCCAGATCTTAGCTGGCCGAGAAGAGGTCGCCCATAGCATCCAGGTAAAGACACCAAGAGCAAACACCCTGCATCTTTAACTCGTTTATTTTCATTATCAGTCCCTGGGTGGTGCAAAAAGTCAACACGCTTGGCTGCTAACCGAAAGGTTGGAGGTTCGAGTCCACCCAGAAGTGCCTCAGAAGTAAGTCCTGGAGATCTGATTCCAAAAAAATCAGTCACTGAAAACCCTGTGAATCACAGTTCTACACTGACAGTGAGTTGACTAGATGGCAACTGGTTTGACTGGTTTCTCAAATATCAGCTGTTAAAAGCATGCCCCCTCCCCCACCCCACACACCGACAGACAGACAACTGTTCTGGACAGGCAGGCTTCAGTTTGTGTTTTCATTTTTTTGCTTTATAATCACAAACTATAAATTTAAACATCTGGGTGGGGAAAGGGAGCTGTAAGAATTGTACACCTTATCCATTGTCTTTGGAATTTGACATCTGAATTAGCATTGTACACTTTATCCTTTTCTGACAAGGTTAGAGACCAGATGTATTTTTAGCTTAGATCACCCAGAAGTCGAGCCATTTCTCAGGCAGTGCGTACATTCCTGCTTACAGCCAAGTGTGAAAGGTAGGCCAGGATTCAGCTTAGACAAGTGCAGACGTGTGACATCCCTGGAAATTCTTACATCACAGCAACTAATCGCAATAGTAATTACAATATTGTGAGTATGTATCAATCTCATCTCTTATGATTGTTTATAGACTATCAAATTTCTGTATTTTCTTAAATCAATTAAATTTTGCCTCAGAGTCTGCTTCTTACAGAAAGATAAAAGGGACGTTCAGCTGTGATCTTCTTGGCACACTTCCAGGCCTGAGTTGTGCAGAGGCCCCGGTTTTATGCGTTCCGCACGATAACCCCCGTGTCTGTAAGGGCCCTGCGGGCTGGGGACACTGATGACTGCCAGTGCCGGCAGGTCAGGGCATGGTGGGAGTGGTCACCGTCTCCCGGGGTCCTGCAGGATCTCAGAAAGGGTTCTTCCATTTGGAAGCACAGGCACCTCTGCCTGCCTCCCTTCTGGGGAACTAGCCCTCTAGTCTGTTTCTCAAGGCACTCTTCCTCATCCCTCCTTTCCCAGGATCCCTAGGAAGATGTCTTCAGTGGGTTTAGGGCTTTACAAAAGACAAGAACATCCCTGATTTTAGGCTGCTTCTGCTCACAGTTTAATTCTGCTACCTTTTTAAAACTGGCCACAGGGCAGGGGCTAGACAGGGGTTAAACAGAGCATGATGTATTATATCTCGAAAATTACCCAATAATAACATTGGTCGAATCATTGCTAAGCACTGATAGATCTCTAACTTGTATTGTCTCCAAACCTCAGAACGATCCTGAAAGGAAACCTTTCATGGGTGAGAAAACTGAGACTCAGAGAGGTTAGGTAATTGGCCCAAAGATTCACAGCTGCGATGGCAGAGCCAGGACAAAATCCCAGTCTGTCTAGGAGCCGATGCGTTGCTGTCTGCCCGGTATTAGTGAAAGCAAATTTGGGGTGTCCACTCAAATCTAGACAGACATCATATACTTCATTAGGAATGGTTTTGAGGCATGGTCCCACTGGGAGACTGCCCCCTAAAAGACATCTCAGGTTTTGTTCCTGGAACCTTCCTGGGTTCTAATCCCAAAAGTGACCCACGGGGCTGCTACCTCCCACTCCCTTCCCAAACATGTCTTATCTAAACAATGTGATTATGAGAGGAGGAAAAGACAGAAATTCACCTTGCATATAAGTAACACACCAGAAACTCACCTCATGCCTCCCGCGTTCTGATCACTGTTCTTTCTTTTGATCTGGAAACAGACCTTACTGGATGATGCCACGGAGCTGTGGGGGATCCGGGTGGCCCGCGTGGAGATCAAAGACGTCCGCATTCCAGTGCAGCTGCAGAGGTCCATGGCAGCCGAGGCCGAGGCCAGGCGGGAAGCCAGAGCTAGGGTGAGGGCTGATCTTGCTGGGCCAGCCGGCACATGGGGCAAGCCGCCTGGCCTGGGGCACACACAGCTAGAACAGGGACAGAAGGGCGCGGCTCACAATTTTATAAGGAAAAAACAACTTCTCGTCGAATTGATTCTGATTCACGGCCACCACACTGTTTCAGAGTACAACTGTGCTCCCTAGGGTTTTCAATGGCTGTGATCGTTTAGAAACAGACGGGCTTTCTTTCTGAGGCACCTCTGGGTAGATGGGAACCTTTCGGTTAATAGCCAAGTGCTTAACTGTGCCACCAAGGACTCCTTTTATTGAAAAGAGTTCTTTTTTACAGTTTTCACGGAGATGGTTCCCCCTGAGTGGAAAAGCAGTGACAGTCTAATGAGCTTTAACAGCTGTCAGGGCAAGAGGACACTCAGCAGCAGGCCGGTGGGTCCTAACACTGGCTGCACCGAGTCCCTGGGGACAAGGAGCAGCAACAAGGGTCCCAGGCTCCCCTTACACTGAATGATGGGGAGTCGGGGGTGGGGGGTGGGCAGGAACCTGCATTTCTGTAAAGCTGGTCTGAGGTAGCCCATGTGGGGCCTGCCTTTTGAGAATCCGTTTTCTAGCGTTGTTACTGGACTGCAAGTATTCCCCACGCCCTGGTCCTGATCTGTTCCATCTCTGCCCTCTGTGTCCGGGTGGATGGGTTTCCTGAGGTAACAGAAACCGATTTAGATTAGAAGCCTTGTGTGCCTCTGCGGAAGCCCTGGGTAGATCTTTATTTGAATAGAGTATTTAACCAGTACTGCTCGAGAGCACTGAGGATGCTGGCAGCCCCTGATAGGCGAGGTCAAAAGTCTACTACCTGAGTCTTTTCTTTTTATATAAACAAAGGGAGTCCTGGACGGTGCCAACCGCTAACGTGCCCGGCTGCTAACTGAAAGGCTGGAGGTTCCAGTGCCCCCACGGCGCCTCGGGGAATGGAAATTAGAAGACTTTGGGGACCCTCTGGCACAGTGAGGCTGTTTTCCCTGCCCTCTTTCCTTACCTGCTGAGCTCCAGCAGCTCAAAGCAATGGACTTGCCGTGAGGCCAGGAGGGCAGAGGGTGCCGCTGTAGGGGCAGCAAAGCTCCAAGTCATTCTTTGGAAAATCTGTGAACTAGAAGAGGGGCAGGAATACTGAAGAGATTTCCAGTGGGTGTTATCTGACTGGCACTTCCTACTATTTGTAATCAAGGGCTGAAAGAACAAGGAACAATTCTTACATTGTATGCAAGAAGCTGAGTTGGCAGCAGAATGAAATAAAAACATCTCCTGTGAGAAATAAAAACTACAACATCAAAAAAGCCAGTTGGAGGCCTTGACTAGGCCTTGAATTTCAGCCTTCTCGGGAAATGAATGCCACAGATTCTGAGGTTGCAAAGCAACCTAGAGCATTACCGGGGTAGATGGCCAAGTATGTACTGTGTTAAAGATAGTGAGTGCTTTTATTTCTGTTTGAAAATGAAATCCAGGGACTCATGATTTGTAAAATATCTCTCCCGCTTCCTGCAACCTCCTGCCATATCCCTAATCACATTAGGATGTGAAATTCTTATCCTTGCCAAGGAAGGAAGTAGCTCAAACGCACGTGGCCAAGTGCAGGCTGGAGGAAGGGTACCTGTGTGGGCACAGAAAACAAAATCCCTAGTATGCCAAAGTCCCAGGGTGATGCAAATGAGTAAGTGATCAATTACTAGCTGAAAGGTTAATGGTTCAAACCCACCCAGAGGCTCCTCAGGAGATAGTCCTGGCAATCTGCTTCCCAAAGGTCACCACCCTGAAAACCGCATGGAGCAGTCTACGCTGCCCCTGTAGGGTCGAAATGAGCAGGAATTGACTGGATAGTAACTAACAACAAAATGTAATAAAGATGGTGAGGCTGGCTCAGGGCTGGGCCATGCTTCCTTCTGCTATACAATGTTTCCTTCCGTTACACATAAGGCCGCCCCGCTGTGAGTCTACTCAATGGCAACTGGCAGCAGTCCTGGCAGCCAACTTTTGCTTCTGAACTCTTTTATTTCTGTCATTCTAGGTCCTTGCAGCGGAAGGAGAAATGAATGCTTCGAAATCTCTCAAGTCAGCCTCCATGGTGCTGGCAGAGTCGCCCGTAGCTCTGCAGCTACGGTACCTGCAGACCTTGACCGCCGTAGCCACAGAGAAGAATTCCACCATTGTGTTTCCTCTGCCCATGAATATACTCGAGGGCATTGGTGGTGTTAGTTACAACAACCACAGGAAAGTTCCTAACACAGCCTGAGGTCTTCCTCAGTGGCCAGCCCATTGCTTAGGGAGTCACATCTTTGTCTGCCGAGCACCCAGCAGTTAGAAGTGGCGAGAACAATGCATTTCAAGCCCAGTAGCTGCTCAGCAGGCCTAGGATTAGCAGGCAGACGCTAGAGAGGTTGCAAGAACAAACTACGAAACGAGGGTTATGCACTACTTTTAGTTGTCAAAGCATAGACACCTTTGCAATATTCTTATAATAATTCATTAATAGTTGTCTCTAACTTTTAGCAGGATACTATACAGTAGGGGGAGAAGAGAAAATCTTTGGGGGATTGTGATGAAGATATCAGAATTACTTTTTAATTGTTTTAAGAGGCGCTTCAAATAATTTGTAAAGTAACATAGGTCCCATAGTTCAACTAGATATTTGCTTTATAATTCTAAGCTAATTATTTCCTAAATCGTCTATAATTACAAAAAAAGCCCCACGAGGATTTAAATGATGATTGATGATGATGTCCAAGACAAACAGGTGAGCAAGGCTTCCAGCTGCAAACTTATCACCAAACACACGGGCCACATTGCCCTCAGCTCACAAGCCCGGTTCTCTTGCTATATGTCCTGGTGGGGGTGCTGGCCACTTCTCAGCCCCCTAGCCCCTTTGTCAGAGGGGGTACAGGGCACAGGAAGACAGCAAGCGCCAGGCAGTTTACTCCTTACAGGTGAGAGTGGTTGGAAAGGTTTCATTGGTTGAAATCACTGAGGAAAAACATCCTGTGGATTTCATGTTTTCACTCTCTTGTTATTCCCAAAAGCCAAGGTAATTGAGAATTATTTGTAAACTCTACCAAAAAAAACAAAACAAAACAAAAACAAACCCTGTTAAAAATAAAGAAGCCATGGAATGTGGATGTATTTTTAAAGAAAAGTGTTTTGTTGGAGATTGTTTTGTTGCCAAGGTTCACTTTCCTTTTGGGATCCGTGCTGTGAAAAGAGCTAGAATTTTTAAGCTACCATTTATCTCATGTCTGCTGTGTGTTACACTGTACTCAGTTCTTTATGGATTCTAAGCAATATTCTTCTTTTACAGATGAGAGAGCGAAGTCAGGAAGTTAATTTCAATAATTTACCCAAAATGCCTCATGTAGTAAATTTTGGGCTAGGATTAAAACCAGGTCCGACTCTTACACACCATCGAGTTTTTTGGAGAAGGAAAGGGATAGAAGGCAAAAAAGGAGTCCCCCGGTCCCCTTTTGTCTTCAGTACCAAACTCTGAGGTTCGGGAAGTCCATGCACCACTGCAGCTTTCCACCGTATCCAGGACTGTGAGAGCAAGCGTACATGTGCACACACACCCACCCACCTCACACACACTCCCTGTGTAACCCCACCTTCCCCATGTTCCCCCCACGCCCCATCTCTGCTCCCCTCACCCCCATGCACTGGCCTCACACACACCTTACTGTCAACACATACATGTTGTTAGCTGCCAGCCACTCAGCCCCTGACTCACGGTGACCCCAAGCCCCAGGGAAAACAGCGCTGCCCAGTGCTGCTCATTCCCATGATTGGTTGGGGATGGGACCGTTGTGATCCATAGGGTTTTCACTGGCTGCTTTTCAGGAGATCACCATTTCTTTCTTCCTATTCTGTCTTAGTCTGAATTTCCACTGAAGCCTTTTTAGCATCACAGCAACGCACAAGACTCCACTGACAGGTGGCGGCTACGCATGAGGTACATTGTTTGGGAATTGAGTCTCCCACATGGAAGGTGAGAATTCTACCACTGAACCACTAATGCCTTACATTGACTCGTTGTCATCGAGTCGATTCCAACTCACAGAGACCCTATAGGACAGAGGAGAACTGCCCCATAGGGTTTCCAAGGAATGGCTAGTGGATTTGAATTGCCGACCTTTCAGTTAGCAGCCGTAGCTCTTAACCATATATAAATGGCTTCAGTTAAAAAAAAAAAAAAAAATGGAGATCCCATTCTATCTTTGGCTTTGCGACTTATTTTTTTTCATGAAACTATATCATAGTTGATAGGATTTTCGGACAATCCACAGCTCAAGAATCTTGTAATAGATCATGATTCTAACACTCATTGAAAAAAATAGACTTTATTTTCTAGAGCAGTTACAAGTTCACGGAAAAACTGCACGGGAAGTACAGAGTTCCGCTTGCCCTCTCTCCCCCGTGCGCAGTTTCTCCTATTGTTAACATGCCACATGAGTGTAGTACGCTTGTTACCAGGATTGATAGAATATCCTTAACTGAAGCTCATCGTTTACTCCAGGGTTCACCCTTTGTGTGGTACAGCCCTGTGGGTTCTGACAACCGCGTAACGTCATGTGTGCATCATTACAGCATCAAACAGAATAATCTCATTGCCCTTAAAGTGCCCTGGGCTCACTTATTCATCCCTCTCACTTCCCCCTGAGCCCCTGGCAAGCACTGCTGTCTGTACAGTTGTGCTTTTTCCAGAATGTCACCAGTTAGAACCTTACAGCAGGAGGCCTTTTCAGACTGACTTGTTCTCCTAGCACTGTGCGTTTAAGCTTCCATCACATCTTTTCGTAGCTTGATAGTTTCTTTCTTTTTATAGCTGAATAATACTCCATTGTATGAATGTACCAGTTTGCCTAGCACTCGTTTTTAACCCACTGAGGTTAATTTTTTCCTTAGCGGCCAAGTACTTGCATTTTAATAGAAACTGAAGACTTAGGTTAACAGGCAGAAACCTATGACAGGTCCTCCACGTCAGCCAGAATCTGAGTCCATGAAGACAATCACGCAGACACTCAACCAGCGACCCTGTGCCTTAGGAACAATGACACAGAGACTAAACACAGGTGAGGACACCTCTGGCATTGAGGACCACCTGAGGGGGGAGATCCTACTTGTATAAGAGCATTTTGCTGGCCCACTGTAAAAATCTCCTCTCAGCTGTGTTCCAGAAATCCACAGTTATTCCTTCCTTTGGTTTCAGGGATAAAAAGATGTCGACATTAAAAATGCAAACCTTTCATGGGAATGTGGAGCAAACACTAATGGTTCTCACTGGAAGTGAACACTCTCTCAATCACTAGAAGTTTTTTTTTGTTGTTTTTTTCCAAAATGCACAGCCCACTCACATCCCCCGTAGGGGTGGGAATGGGAGTGTGAGAACTTTCTCAGAAGCTCCCAGGCTGTGGCAGGTGTAGTTTGAAAACACTCCAGGAGATTCACATTACCCCAGCCCCTCCAGCATTAAGCCTCATTAATTCTTTAGCATTGCAGTAGGTCATTTGTTAGATTAGTTACAAAAGGCTGCCTGAAGAATGATCCTATGAAGGTGAGTATAATTGGAAGAATAAGGAAAGGTCAGAGCTTTCCTGGGATGTCAATATCAAGGATGATATTCAAAACAGAGTTGCCCTCCACCCCCCAAAATAAGAGTAAAGTTTTTTTCTTCTGGGGGAAGGGGGGCAGGAAGGGAGAGAAGAAGTGTCCAAGCTCCTTGTGATGGCGTCTCAGGACTTCTAGTCACCCCTGACTGTATTGGAGAATCCCTGCGTGGTGCAAATGGTTTGCGCTTGACCACTAACTAAAAGGCTGGTGGTTCAAAACTATCCAGCAGTGCCACGGAAGAAAGTCCTGGTGATCTACTTCCATAAGATTACAGTCATTGGAAACCCTATGAAGCACAGTTCTACTCTGAAACATGTGGGGTCTCCATGAGTCAAAATTGACTTCATGGCTACTGATTTTCATTGTACAACTTCTTTGCCTTGGGGTCTGTGAATGGCTATTGTGGCAGCAGAAGCAGCAGTAGCCACAAATGCCTAAGCAAACTGATGATCATTGGTACACGTGTGAGCTCTGCAAGGTTGCACTGACCATGGAGTTCCCAGGACTCCAACATACATAGACAAGCTTTGAGTTTCCTTGAGGTCCCTTTGTTTAATGCTCTTATCAGGATACCACGTTAATCAGCGAGGGCCACCTTCTGGAGGGAGGAGCTGATTCCATCATGGAACCTCTTATTTCCCATTTGTTGAGAGTAGTTTCCAAAGACAAAGACCACCCCTCAATCTGTAGGCAGTAGGTTAAGTGTATGAACTGGAAACCTGTCTTAGTTTGTGTTCGCCCAAAAGCAGGATGGGTGCAATTAGTTTATTTGGGAGGCTGTTCCAGGAAGTAATCTGAGGGAATGGGTGAGATGGGAAGGCAAGAAATCTTGTGCTAATGGATAGTTGACTGCTATGGGCAACTGGGACTCAGCCTGCTGGGGACACTGAGAGACTGTGGAACACATCTCAGAATTAGCAAATTGAGGGACAGGGAAGCTGCAATATTTATCCATCAAGTCCTACCCCTCATTGCTTGAGAATGTTAGGAAAAATTGTGAAAGACTCTGAAATGTGCAAAAAGATTAGTGGATGTCTGATCTAACTCATATGTCTGGGTTATCTCAGCTTTTCGTTGTGTTATAGGGGAAAACATCACAAAGTTTACTAAAGCAAAAAGGAAGTTTTACTCAGCATATATTCAAAAAGGCAAAAGTGGAAAAACACAGAAGTATGCTGCTAGAGCCATGTCTGCCCAAGTCCAAGGAAATATCACAGAACAGACAAAAGCAGGAAAATGGACAAGCATGCTGGTAGAGCCATGTCTGTCCAAGTCCAAAGAATATTACAGAATAGCCAAGAGTGGGAAAACAGACAAGCATGCTGCCATAGCCAAGTCTGCCTGAGTCCAAAGACCATTACAGGGTCATCAGTATATATTAACATTACAAATGGGCAAAACCATTGAAAGCTTCACCTTTTCACAGTTTGGCTAGAAACTGTGATCCTGTATTTTGAATTCTTTCTTAACAATCATTGGTACAGGTTTCAGTAGCAACATTCAGGAGGGTCTCCATTGGTCCCACAAATTTCTATTCACTAAATGTTAATAGAAAAAGATAAGAGTAGAAAGTCTTTTGTGTTCTGTTTGGTTGGCTTTATGTGAAAGATTCCCTAAAATATATTTTCCAAGATTATCTTAGCTA